TTCTACTTCTATAAAGAGATTCCATGCTACCAAACAAGACCCTGCTTCATCTTTTTGTGTAAGTCTTCCCTACATCTCACCAGGCCAAGTGTGGCACATGGATTTTCTTTAAGGTCTATTTTTCTTCTGCTACTGACTCGAGCAGCTCCTGATCCAGCTGCCTGCTGCAGTGCTGGGGGAAGGAGGAATTCCTAGTGCTGCATTTGCTCTCTCACCTGTCAAGACAGTACAGCATTTCCAAAGTCCATATGCAGCCACTCAAACGAGTAAAAGAAAAACAAACAAACAAACCACCACCAAAGCAGTACACAAATCAGGCACTTACTGAGAAAATGAAGGCAGGCTCAGAGGCAGCACATCAAAGGTGCCACAGAGGGGAAAGAAACGACTGCTTCAAGCAAAAGCAGAGCTGTACACTGCTTAAGATAAACGAGTCACACATGAAGCCTTCAGAATTTTTTAGGTTCACAAAATTCTGGAGAAATGCTATCTGCTTAATAGCTTACTGGCTACAGCTGCATGCCAGTCCTGGCAAAGCACCCTAAGGAGCACCCTAAGGAACAAAGCTGGTCTTAAGGTGAGTCGCTCCTAACTATGGTCTAGGTGTTCCTGACTTACATGAACAGTGTGAGCTGCTCAAAAAAAAAACACAAACAACTTAGAACTCCAGTTGACTTCATGTGTCAATCTATATGGCAAGGAACCATAATAGAGCTTGCAGGGTAGAGTTCTGATGCTGTTCACATGTAACATAAAATTACATATGCTTCTGACCAGTCCCAACTGCCTTCTAAGGAAGGGCAATGACTTACTTTGTGGCCCATTAAGGGAAAAACCTACATCCCAACAGACAGGAGATCTCAGATACAAAGCTTCCTTTATATGCTTGTTAACTGGGATCGCCAAAGCAAAATGGCATAACATCTATTTTTACACCTGGGAAACGACTGAGAGGAAGAAGAGAAGAAGCAAAGCTGAGAGAGAAGCTGCATCTGGTTGTGCACTACAGAAAACACCTCTTAAAAACATGTTTCTTCTCACAATTTTTAATAACATGTATATATATATAATCTAAATAATGCAAACAGTATGCATTATCTCAGGTTCTCTTATCTTAGCGGATCTCTGAAGCATCTGTGTATTTCATTTTCTACTAAAATTGTAATTTTAGAAGAATCCGTAGAAATTTAGCACACAGAAATAAAGATGTAATCTTCATTATTTATACACAGTTATAAAAATATGCCAGCACTGACATATAAAGGAGAGTTGAGAGCTACGCTGTCTCCAGCACAGAATTGCCCCAGAAGCACTGGAAATACAGTTGAAGAGAAAATCTTTTTGTCACAGGTCTGGTTTGGGCTCTTTCTCAAATCTTCCTTAGGTTTCTCATCCTCTTTCTAACCCCAGAGACAGTAGAGCTGACTGCCAGCTCCATGCAGGCAGGGTCATACCCTGTGATATCCCATCAAACCATGTACTCTTTCTAGCAACTATCACTTTCATTGTGGCTCATCTTGGGTGTTCCACACAAGACCCCACAGTGTCACAGTATCACCAGGATGCTTGCTTTCATCACATTTGGTTCAGTTTCCAGATACACGAAGAACACATAAAAACACTAACAATTGCCTGATAGGGAAACACGAGTGAAGTGGCCGTTAAATAACTTCAGCAGCATGCAGGAAACATTTCCTATGACGATGATTTAGAGTGATTTTGGGAAGCTCTGTTTGGATGTTCTCCTGGAAGTATTCCAAAGCTGAAAACCCCGAAACTGAAAGGGACAGGAGAGGCAGGAAGAGAGAATATCTGTCCTTAACTAGCACTGTACTGACCAAAGCTACCAAAAACAAAGTACTAGCAGCGTCTAAGGAGGGAGCTGAGCTGCAGACCAGCTCCCAGCACTACCCTCAGCTGATTTAAGGCTGCACCAGGTCACTGGAAGCTGGCAGATCAACGTCCTCATCGACTCACCATTCCCTCTGGGCACTCGCCCTGCAGTTTGCTGCCTCAAAACAGAGGCTGGTGGTCATGACACCCAGCTTTTATTTGCAAGTCTGGAGCCACAATAGAGAGGTCAGAACTCGAGGCAAGAGGCGAGGACTCCTTGCTCCAGGCTGTGTGCCAGGGGAAGAGCTGAGCGTGCCCCCAGAGTACAGCACAGCCTGGGTGCTGGGGTTCTTACTGAAGGTCCCCAGATAACATCTTGCGTGGCCAAAGACAAGCCACCAGGTCGTTCCCTATCTCAGTTTACTCCTCTCTGACACAGATAAAATAAAAGTCTTTGTCACAGGGTCACACAATGGCTGTTTAACATATGTAAATGATTCCAATAGGCTCGGGCAAGCTACGAAGGAAAGGCAGAGCACTGCTGGTGGTACTGTTGGAGCCGCAGTGCTGACAGCGTGTGATGTCACTGGGGCAGCAAATCTAAATGCTGAGCACACAGAAGTCTCTTTAAATGCAAAAGCAAAGCACTGTGAAAGGATTGTATTCCTAATCAGCCTCCTGTCAAGCCCTGGCTTCCATTTGCCCTTAAATCCCAGCGCGGCAGCATGATGTGTGTGCGTGAAAGTGCCTGCGTGCCTGGCCTCTTCTTTTGAAAAAAGAATCTAACAAATCCTTCCAGACAGCGTTTGAGAGGAGAGGAGGCACCACCAGATCAAAACAGCCGCCTGAAGTGACCCCTGTTCTGCCTCAGAGACAGTTGCATAAGCTTTGTGCGGGAGTGGGAGCTGGCAGGAATGCAGCATGACAGAACGGGAAGCTGAGGCCAGCAGGTTGGGTTCAGCTGCTCACAGGCAGGTACTTCTGCAGCCCGGCCCCTGGAACAGCAGCACTGCCAGCCACCCTCCCTACACACAGAGGTGCCACCACAAGCATCAGCTCCAGATAAATGCTGCAGAAAGATGAAGCAGCACCTTCTGATCACATCTGTGTAAAAATGGAACGTGCTGGACTAAGAGTTGCTGAGACTTTGGTTTGCTCTCTGGGTACCTCACAGTCCTAATGGAATGTGGCAAAGGGCATTCTGAAGACCTAAGTGCTCTTTATCCTACAGCCACCCAAAATAGCATCTTGTGATGTACTTGTGAAATTCTGAAGAAGCCACACAAAAGCCTGGAAGCCACGGGCTGTGGAAAATGGAGCACAGCAATGCAACTTATGATCACACAGACCATGGGAACACACACAGGAGAAGAAAGGAGACATTCATTCTCTAGATGAGTAGTGAATGAGTCTGGGAACTTCATGTTTAGGAGAGCTCTAAAAGAGGGACTTTTAAAGGAAGGGCATGGGCTTTCCCAGCCCTGACCAGCCACCAGTAAATGGCTGTCTGTTTTTTTCACTGCTACTGACATCACACTGCTTGAGAGCCTTAAACATCCATCAGTATCTGACTTGAATTGCAAGCTGCTCCCAGAAGATACGAGGGCACAGATGAAAGACTGTTGAAGACTTCTGAAAGCTTTGGTCAAGGATCTACGCTGTAATTTAATTAACAGTTCAGCATCCAACACGCGACTACAGCCAACTCTGATACTTTAAGTCTTCACTTCCTTGGAGAACCATCTATAAACATTCCAGAAGAGAGACCTCCTCTTCCTTACAGATCCTTCCCAGACAAGGTCACTGTGCTTTCTCTCCTCATTCTCCTTACAATAAAAGGTTTTCCCTTCCTTACAGGAAGTTTTCTTTCCCTGAGGATGTTCCTAGGAAGAACGAGTGCCGCTGCACCACTGCCCACCTGAATTAGCATCTAATGCTCCCAAAACACAATGCAGGAGATCACAGCACTTCTGGAAATGTTGCACAACTTACTGCTGAATCCAGAATGCTTACAGGAACAGGCCAAAAAGTATTTCAGTCTTTTCAAGTAGGTTTCACTTGAACCTGCTGACCACTCCTTTTGAAGAGGAAAGAGCAAAATATGGCAATAAAAGAGTGGGAGGAGAAAAAGTTCTGCAAAAGCAGAACTAGCTCTTTGAATGTGCATTCAGGTAGTTCTGCTTTTGCTTGCTCAAATGGAAAACTAATAGAAAAACAGACACAAACAATACGAACAACTTCTGTGACATTTCTCAAATGGGCTTTTTTTCCCCCTCCCTCCTTCTCACCCATTTTCATTTCAGTGCTCCTGACAGCACCACTACTCAGCTACAGAAATCACGATACATACACTCCCTGTTTCTCACAGGGCTACAGAGGCTCACTGGTATGAGTTTACAATTGCCAGAGATTAAATGGAAGTTACAGCTTTTTTCTTCAAAGGTTCTATGTCATATTACTTTTCTCATATCAAATTTTGCTTTGCCAAAAGATATCTAAAATTTCAACCGTATCAACATGCAGAAATAGGAGTTGGAAGCTTTGTTTCACTTACCACCTTATTTGAACTGATGATGCATTACATCACTACAGCCATTCCACAAAACAAAGCAATTCCATAAAAAGAAGCCAAAAAACTTGATACACCTTGCTCTGTAATCAGCTCTTCATAAGCATGCTCATTCACATCAGCAGAAATAAAAGACAACAGAGGACAAAATGTGGGCAATCACTGCTAAAGCCTAAGAATTTGAAAAAAGTTATTTGCACCTCTGAATATTGGTAATTTTGAAATGCCTGAGTTTGGCACTTCCAGAAATCCAGGCCAATGTAAGGCATGTCCAGCCATACACACAAACTCACTGGGGTCATTTGAAAATCACAGGCAATGAGCAAATTATGCTCTAGTTATGTCAGTGTACATCCCAAATCAGCGGAGTTACACGGGCTTTTCACTGAGAGCAGTCTCTGCCCTATTTACTGTAACAACCACACACAAAGCACAAATGACATCTTACTGGCAACTGAGCTGAATGAGAACATGCCTAGCATGGTTAGCATTTAACACTACAGACACACGTGAACGCATGTATTTCAGAATCACTGTTGTTTTCCTTTCCCTTTAAAGGGAAGGAACTCCCCACACCCACCCCTGCAACCCTCTGCACCTCATTTCCATCTGGCTGACGCTGCAGTACCGCTGAACCTCCAGCTGGATCCCACAGCATTGTCTTGAACATTTTGTTCCGGCGGAGCTGAACTCTAGGAGACTCACGGTTCTAAACAAAAATCACAAGGCTTTATGTACAAGAGCAGCCTCTCAATAACAGCCCGTGCCCCTGGTACCGTGGCGGACAGGCTGGAAATAGGGTCGGCTCATGGAAGGAGGCCAGTTGTTGTGCTGTGGGGCTTTTTGTTTTGGTTTTCAGACACTGCTGCTTTTCACATAGCGCAAACAGGGAAGACTCTTTCTTTCCCAAATGCGAGAAGGGTAGCTCAGTATCTCTGCAAGCCTTCCCAGACTGTGGTGTGAGGGCGGGAGCCACCTCTCACATACTGCTATAGCAACAAAATGTTTTTCAAGCATGATTGGTTGAAATTGGTAAGTGAATTAAGACCCCACAGCACTGTAGTTAGTTCCATATATCAGCATTTTCCCCTTCCTTCAGTGAAGGACGGGAGGACCTCTGGCCACAGCAGAAGCCAAGCCACAGGGGTGACCTGGGAGGCTCGAAGGCTCCACTGCTGCCATCCTTGGTGCCTGCAGCCCAGGCTCTGGTTGAGCACGAGATCAGTCCCAGCCTGGCTCGCACACAGCACGGTGCCTGGAGAAGCAGCTCCCCCCTCCTCCCCCACCCAGGGCACGGAGCAGAGCTGAGCCCTGCTGCAAGGGTTAACAGAGCAGGCTGCTCCCATACCTCGCCCTCATCAAACATGGCAAGAGGCCTCCCATGCTGGAAACTCCTATGACCCAGTTAAAAAAGACAATGACCCAATTTCATTATGACAGGAATGAAGCTTTTCTAATTTTCTCCAGCGAGAGCTGTCTCAACTAAACAATTCAATTCCATTAGAAGTAGCCCTTTCACAGTGCAGAAATTTGCAAAATGCACTTTTATTGCCACAGCCTTACCCTTTTACAGCACATTCATGCCAGCATTTATTCAAATGCTTTACAAATTAAGAAAACACATTTTATATAGAGTAATTCCCCACACTCAAATTCCCCTCTTGTTTTCAAACATAAGGATTCCAACATCAAACCCAGATAAGATCTCCCCAGGTATTGTTATGAGCGATGAATGCAGACTGCTTCGGGTGGCTGGAACTCCCTTTGTCACTCCAGCAAAAAGGTCACAGAGAAGTGCCATGAGGTGGCTATGGGCATGTTGGAATGCACCCACTTCACAAAAAGATGCATTCGATGAAAGCTGTGTGACAAGACCTTTGCATAGGAGAATCAGGTGCTAAGTGACACGCATATCTCACTGTAAGTACGAATATGACAACGTGAAAAGTCAGCCACAAATGCAGAGAGGAAGTGCTAATCAGTGTGCTTGTGTTTAAAACAAGGAAACACAGCATTTGCCTAGTGTGAAACTTATAGATTATCGCAGAAAGTTTCGATTTAGACAAATCCTCAACCTGGAGCCCTCCTGATGATGCATTTTCAAATGAATTACTTGCATAAAGACTTTGCAAATCCCTCCTTGCAATACAAAGCAGAGCATGAGTAAGGAAAAAGAGAGTGAGGGTCAAGGCAGGCAAAGGAGCAGGCTAACCCCACCTCTCAATCCCCACCGGCTGTGCCACAGCTACTGTTCAGCACAGGTCACCCCACTGCAGCCATCGGACCCGACTGGATTTCAGCTGCACTGGGGGTAAAGGAGCACGCATGGAGCCACAAACAAACAGCAAAACTCCCCTGAACCTCAAAATGAAGTTACTGGATTCTGGGAAGCAACTTTTGCCTCTCATGCTTAATCCATCCTACACTGGTTTCTTTCTTCATGTCACAAGCTTGCTTTTTATTTAATTATACTCAAAGCGTGTGCAGGAAATACGGTGAGATTTCAGAAACAACTGTTAACACCTTGCCCAAAACTAAAGGATGGCAGAATAGGAGAAAGAGGCATAGGCGTTGATTTAAAGCACAGCTTTTGACAGGTTTCTCTCTGACCTGGACCTGCCTTGCCAACTCAACGGACTAAAATCTAAGCTTGCTGGCTCCAGGCAGGGACAGAAGATGCTACTTGATAGCTGTCATTAGGCAACTGGGACAGAAGATGCTGCTTGATAGCTGTCATCATACAATTGACTCAAGTCACCTGAGAAGACCTAGGACCTAGAAGGCTGGAACGTTTACTGTAAAGCACTTTGTACTCACATGTGTATTTTTCAACAACTGTAAACTCAAACATGAAGTTCTCTAACAGTCAGATGGAAGCTTTTTCATTTATTTAATTTTAAACAGACAAGATGACTTAAAGAGTGAAACACTGGAAGAGATTAGGAGCAACACCCACAAAACGTTAAGAAATAACCCACTCAATCTTTACATGGCATCTCAGAACATCAGTAGGTTGGACATCCCTGCCTGGGCAGCAGCGGCACCACATACTGGCGCATCAGGACAAGCTGAGGTCACAGCCATACTGAGTCACCCTGAGCTCGCTTTCAGCCTCAGAACCCTACAGTTTGCATGCAGAGCACGTAAGGCAGGCTTACGGTCATATATATATGTTTCAGTTTCTGCCAAGGAAAATGATCCCTCTTCAGCAGTGCTGCCCTTTCCCCATTTCACGTAAAAGATGAAGTGAGACGAAGTGAGACAAGGCTCACACTCTCCTGGCCTTTCCTTGCCTAAGTGGATGCCTCCCAGCTATGCCCACTCATCCACAGCAGCACAGCTGCACCACAGGACTGATTAAAAGAGGAAGTTTTCCTTGACACCACCAGTGACACCCTGGAGACCGCACTTGTGCAATCTCCACAGTGTGGTCGGTTCCCTTGCCACAAGCTCAGGATTCAAAAATAAAACAACAGCACAATATTTTGTCATTATTTCCTCCTTTCTCCATCGCAAGAAGAGCTGTGTTTTAGGATCTCACAAAGAGCCTACAGAAAAATAATACTTCTGGTTTGACGGGAGCCTTTCCAGACCCCATGTCCCAAATGCCAGCAACAAGACAAAGTCAGAAAAAAAACAGAGAGCTACTTAGAGAAGGAGAAATGGGGTTCACTTTCTCTTCTGAGAACATCAACAGCTTCTGAGGATAACGCTCCTAATCTCTTCCATCTCTTCCATTACATAAATTCACAGCAACCGCAAGCTTGCAATGAGTTGAGTGAGGCCTAAGGTGAGGTAACGTCCCAGTGCCTTTCATACATATTCATAAAAAAAACAACACTCAGCAATAACAACATAATCCTGTATGCATGTAAAACAATCCACAGAAATCCTCTCAACAGCCCTGCTGGGCAGGGAGGTAAACGCTGCTGTTTCACAGAAAAGTGAAGTAACTCGCCCAAGGTCACCCCTCTAAATGGTGTCAAGAGCTGGGACTATAAAACAGTTCTCTTGACTCAGTCTCCTGCCCTGCCCACTAAAGCAGTATTAGCTCCTTGCACCTTGGTAATAACAAGGGGAGGACAGTTCCTTCCCCACCACCTATGAACAAATTATACCTAGCAAACACCAAGTAATTTGAGAGGAGGAATGAATGAACTCCTGTGTAGTTAATTCCAGGAGCGGATCCAGTCCAGGCCTGCCCAAGAACAGAAAGAAATTCTTTCACATGCATGGGAGAGAAGAAAGGAAGAAAGAGAGAGAAAGACAACAGTTACGTGCTAAAATCAGAGTAAAGCTCAATAATCTCTGAATAGGAGATAAAACAGACTGACCACCCTGGAAACTGAGTTGCCTAAATAAGGATGTAATTTTTCAAGCACACAAATTGATTGCTAACCTGGCTTACCCTGCAGAACCTCTAAGGTGTGCTTGTGGCTTTAAATATTTTCTTGTTGCTGCTTTGAAGGCAAGAACAGACATGATCTCCAAAGCATCCGCTGATATGTGGCTGAAGGGAGGGTGGAGGAGGAGGAGGAGAACACTGTAGCTAGCTGAGAACTGTCAGATCGTATTTGCCATCAAGGAATGCCATTTCCCAATGCCTGAGTTTAACTCTGGAATGAGATGCACGCTGCTGCTGACCCCTCTGCTGACATTCTATAGATTCCCTTATCTCATCAGCCCCTGAGCATCCCATCCTCACTCCTCCGCGTTCATGTTCCCAAACTGTCAATCTCCCTGCAATGACTCACAAGGTTCTGAACCCACCATTCGCCTCTACGAGTCTTACTATTTTTTCATACGTGTCCTTCTGGTTTAGATTGAGAGGTGTCTCATTCTTCTTAAAAGCTAAAAACAAAATTAAAAAGAATCACTGAGAGCAATATGCCCTCAGCACAACAGCCTCCCTAAGAGCACTGCACACTTCAAAGAAAAACACAAGAATCTAATTCTGTTCTTCAGTTATAGTGCTATAAATTAGGAATAATTCTACTCAAGTTAAACAAGCCACAATCATTATAAAAACCACTGTGAGCAAAAGCAAAGCTGGGCCTGAGTCTGTGGGCAGATTTCAGGAGCGACAAAGCATTACAAAATACACAGCAAGGGTATATTAAAGTTTAGCTCAGCTTTGCAGATTCTCTACGTATTCCCCTTACAACCCAGCTATAAACACTTTCTTTAGCTATGCTATAATCCTCACCATTATATAGGACAACTGTTTATGCATTGCTGCTGAGATATCCAGAAGCAGTGGTGCAACCACCAGCTGTGTCACTGACACAGTTCTGAAGAAGGTGGAGTGGTTTGAGATGGATGCCAACCAAGATTCTGACAAAGGCTTCACCTGCTGTACCCACATCCCTTGAGGACAGCCTCAGTTCTTTCCCTTCTGTCACCTCAACTCTGAATACCCCATATTAAACCAAAGCCTTGCTCAATACTGCACTTTTTCAGCTGCAACAATTCAGTAACCAGTAAAGGAACTGTGTTAGTGCCCTCCCATCAAATATTGCAGGGAGAAAAGAATAAAATAAGACTGACCTCCTCATATTTATATAGCTGCTTTGGTGTTCCTTAAGCTACTAAGTGGCTTGAGCAAAAGGGTTAAAGAAAACCTGACGTTATTTTTTCATAGAGCATAGATCCAAACACAAACATGCACATATCCATACGTTATTCAATTTGCTGGTTTAATCAGCAAGT